GAGGCTGGGAGCTGGAAGACTGTAGTTCTCACCCCTACTTCACATGACATAGAAAGTTAAGCTTGGGGGACATGAAATAAATGAGATATCATTATCTATCTTTGTAATTTTAACAAACAAACCTCAGGAAATGAAGATAACTAGACATTACCATATACTAGAATGCTCCTTCATATATGTGGATGGATATACAAGAGTTAGGCCACTCTAAATTGAGATGACAATTTCATATGAAATTGTCCATACAGCGTAGGAATTCCCTTCCTAGGCATTTAATAACACCCATGGAATGAAAACTTCTTTTCCACACAAATTTCTAAGCATTTTACTTACAGTAGCTGACATGAAAATAGCAAAAAAAAATTATCCAAATGACCCAAAACAATGAAAGAACAAACTGTGATATGTGTGGTCAATACATTGGAATTAGCAATAAAACTGAATGAACTAGTGACATAGGCAAGAAAACAGCTGAGAACTGAAATGCAGTATGCTGAGTGAAAGAGCGGGACCTGAAAGCAAAATGTGTCATGACATGACATTGTGAAAGTTATTCTGAGAAGCGGGGCAGTAGGAAAGGCTGTGTGAACGGACACGAGAAAATGTAGGACTGTTTTATATATCAGTTGTGGTGGTAGTGATGGTTACGAGACTCTGTGTATTTGTCAAAGCCCATAGCTCTGCATACTGATTAATTTTTTAATACTAAAAAAAGATGAGCTCTAGAGAGGGTAGGGATCTGGCTTGGGCAGCTGTGAGCCTGATGGCGTCCTTCTCTAGAAAGGCAACACCCTTCAGGCCTAAGGCACAGGCAGACTACAGAGGGACGTACAGAAGCAAGCAGTCTTTATTCTGTTGCTTTTCTTGGCTTGCCTGAACACTGAGGAATTTGCTACCTGAAAAGAATTTTCTTCAGGGGAGTTAGAAGCAAGCTTTCAATAAAGACCCAATGAAACAGCCAGCGGCCTTCCTTCCATCAAGTTGGATGGAGCCTGAAAAGCCATTATGCGTGCCTCCTCCTCCTTCCTGAACTTGAATCATATTGAAAAGGTTTTTCAAACTTGCTTACAACAGCAAAGAAACTAGGCAGGGGGTGGGGGAGCTGGATATCTCCAGTTAACCACAGCTTCCTTTAGCAATATAGTTCTAAAAGCCAGGTACCAGTGGGGGCAAGCTTGTAATCTTACCTACTTCAGAGACTAAGACCAGGAAGATCTTGGTTCAAGACCATTCAAGGAAAAAAGTTCTCAAGACTAGAATCTCAACAAGCAAATACTTATCAGCCCAGCTGCTTACTGTGGCAAGCAGAAATAGGGAGATTGTAGTTTAAGACTACATGATCAAAGCAAGATTCTAGCTCAAAAACAACCAAGGTCTTGGGGTATGCCTAGCAAGTAGGGTCCCTGAGCTCAAATTCCAGTACTGACAACAAGAAAAAGAATATAGTTCTATAGTGATTTCTTCCAAAGCACAGTTTGTCAAGATAATTATCTAACATCATTTCCAAGCAATGTGAAATCTAGTTAAGTGCTCCTGTAAATTGGTGTGTTTGTTTTTTTTTTTCATTTAAAAAGATAATAATGTTCACAACCTCTGGTTGTTTGCCAGCTAGAAGAAAACCAAAGGAAATATAAATGACAAAGTCATATCTTTCATTTTAAAGAGAAAAATAGAAAAGAAATTTCCTTATTAAAAGCTAACAGACACATAATATTTGAATAGGTGTCAGCATAACTAGATTGGCATCACGACTCTGCAAATAATTTGAATACTAACTGACTGACTAATGCATATTACTATTCTCTTCAGCCTTGCAATAAGATGGAATTAGAACAAATTTTGTTTTTGCATATAAAATTGAAATTGGGCTTGGGTACAGTGGCTCACTCCTGTAATTCCAGTTACTTGGGAGGCAGAGGTCAGGAGGGATCACAGCTTAAAGCCAGCATGGGCAAAAAAAATTGGCAAACCCTGATCCCAACCAACAAACCAGGCATGGTGGCACACATTTACAGTCCCATGGTGATAACCTGAACATTTTAGACTTTTTGAAAGGTGGCATGTCTTTAGCATGTTTTTAAATAGGTGGCATTATGAGAAAAATTAATCAAGCATCTCATGTCCAGGGCTGAACTCTTGTGTAGCCTGAGTGTTATTGGCTTTTTATTAATTGCAGTCTTTTGGAACCAGATACTGATGGATAGCGAAGGTCCATTGTATTTGAAGTACTTTAACTTGGAACTATATAATTAACCAGAGCAACTTGACACAAAATCCCTGAGGAAGAATTTTCAGGTTGATTTGCTACATGTTAGGATGCCACAGATTATAACATTCCAACATTTTTAGGCATCTACAAAGTTTTTTCTGAATCATTGTTCTATTGAGGTATGACTAACATTCAAAAACCTACATATAGGGGCTGGGAAGGTGGCTCAGTGGTAGAGTGCTTGCCTAGCACGCATGAGGCCCTGTGTTTAAGTCCTCAGCACCACATAAGCAGAAAAACCTAGAAGTGGCTCTGTGGCTCAAGCGGTAGAACACTAGCCTTGAGCTGAAGAGTTGAGGGACAGTGCCCAGACCCAGAGTTCAGGCCCCACGACTGACAAAAACAACAACAACAACAAAACCTACATATATTTATTGAATACAATTTATTGTATACAACTTGGAAATGCACACACCTATGATACTATAACCAAAATCAAGGTGATACACATTTCTATAACGTCCAAAATTTTCTGTGTCTCTTTGCTTTTTCCTTTTTGTGGTTGAAAATAGTTAACATGAGGCATGGCTCATATGATAGCGCACCTGTCTACCAAGTACAAGATCCTGAGTTCAAATTCCAGTAACTGCCCAAAAGAATATATAACATGTACTCTTCTTTCGTAACAAAATTTAAAGTGCCCCACTTTGTATTATTAACCTCAGATACTGAGCTGTACAGCACATGTCTAGTACTTTACTCATCCTGGATAATTAACTTTGTGGCCTCTCCTCATTTCAATTCCTAGTTCATTCAATTTGTAATGGGTCTCCTTATTTCTCCTCCAATATCATTCTATTTTTTGCTTTTATGAATGTGACTATTTCAGATTCCCCAAACAGAAGATTACGCTTTCCTTGTCCCCTGAATATCTTTCACTGTATGTCCTCCAGGTCTATCCATGTGGTTGCACAAGATGGGATTCATTTTTCTCTTTTAGGCTGAATACTAATTTATTGTCCAAATATACTCATTTTGACTATTTGTCTTAAACTCATGATTGTGAGGTAACTTCCCATGTATTTGGGTGTCCTTCAATTCCTTTCTTTTTTAGGATGCAAGACATTCACCTCCTTGTTCAAATTTATTCCTAGTCTTTTATTTTTGTTGACCTTAGTATAAATGGGATTGCTTTCTTCATTTCTTTTTTAGATAGTTAGAATATAAAAATGTAGCTGGATACCAGTGACTCACACTCGTAATCCTCCTTTCTCAGGAGGCTGAGATCTGAGGATCACAATTTGAAGCCAGCCCAGGCAGGAAAGTCTGTGAGACTCTTATCACCAATTAACCACCAAAAAGCTGGAAGCAGAGGTATAGATCAAGAGGTAAAGTGCCAGCCTTGAACAAAGAAAGCTAAGCAAGAGTAGTACAGGCCCTGAGTTCAAACCCCAGTACTAGCAAGAAAAAAAAAAGAAAGAAAAAATGCAACTGGTTTTCGACACGAAATTTTATTGAATTAATTTACTAGCTATAGTTAGCTAGTAAGGCCTGAGCACTGTCCTTGAGTTCTTGTGTTCAAGGTTTGCCCTCTACCACTATGAGCCACAGCTCTAGTTCTGGTTTCTGAGTGGTTAATTGGAGATAAGTCTTGTGGGGACTTTTCTGCCTAGGCAGGCTTCAAGCAACAATCCTCAGACCTCAGGCTTCTGAGTAGCTAGGATTACAGGTGTGAGCCACCACTCAACAGGTAACCTTTCTAGTTTATAAAAGCCTTTTGAGCGGCAGATACCTAAACATGCAAACAGAAACTCTTACTTCACTGATTGTCCATCATGTTATTTATTTGAACGAGGAAAAAAAATCACATCATCTCTGAGTCAAGTCTATATTTGTATCAGAATGAGTCTTTAACTCAGATTTTAGAAATAAATGAAATTCAGGCAACATTTGAGGTCAGAGCATATTCACTACATTACTTCTGATACCCTACCTCTGCATCACATGCATTAATAAAAGAAACTGGTATTTAGATATTAAATAGTGAAAGATAATTTACATGTATTAGAGTATTTCATTCTAACAACTCTAAAGAGAAAGTTTTCTTTTTTATCCTCCTGAAATAAGAAAACAAACTCAGACAGGAGAAGAAATCTGCTCCACATCACACAGAAGAAAAACATTAGCTGCAACTTCAAACAAGTTCTGAACACACCACCTTCCTCCCACGTATTCAGTGCTCAGCATCCATGGCCACACAAACCCCCCTGACAATCACACACACACACACAAAACAATGGTATTTCCTCAAGAAGACTAGATAATAGATAACAACAATGTCAAATAAAGGCACAAAAGGGACAAAAACAAATTTAAATTATCCTACTAATATTAATTAGTAATTAACCTATTAATTTTCATAGTGACTCATAAGGAAGGTGGAAGATGTTTTATCACCTTTTTACATTTGAAGAAATAAAAGGCCAGACAGGCTATACAATTTGCTGCAAATTAAAAAGATGATACAACCATGTACTTTAGCTTTATAATTTCCAGAATATTTTTTAAAACAACTGAATCAATCTGCCACTAAATTAATAGCCCAACAATATTGTCGCACTATTTGAGTGTCTAAACCCTACTTGTCAATGTAGTTATATTTAAATATTTTACTTTGGGCTAGGAATGTGGCTTAGTGGCAGAGTGCTTGTCTAGCATATATGAGGCCCGAGGTTCAATTCCCCAGTACCACAACAACAACATGAAAAAGAAAAGGAAATATTTTACTTACCTGATATTCAAGCCAATGAAATTTGTCCATGTGAAAATATAATCTCCACCAAAGACCATTCCAATGTAAGTTATTAATATATTCTAAAAAAATAAATATAGTTACATGGATTTAAGTGAGTTTTTTCCATGTGTGTGTGTATATATATATAAATAAGTAAATATATATATATATATATATACATTCATACTGTGACTCAAATACCTATCCTTAAAATACAAAACAAGCCAACAATAACAACAAAATCTTATCAACAAGCCAGAGCCTAGTGGATCACGCCTGTAATCCTACCTACTCAAGAAGCCAAGATCTGAGGATCAGAGTTCAAAGCAAGCCTGGGCAGGAAACTCTATGAAACTCTTGTCTTCAATTAACTACCAAAAAGCTGGAAGTAGAACTGTGGCTCAAGAGGTAAAATACTTGCCTTGAGGACAAAAACTTAGGGGTCAGCCCAGGCCTTGAGTTCAAGCTCCTAGGACTGGTGCCAAAAAAAAAAAAAAAAACAACCACAAAACCTACCCTAAGCTGTGTGTTGTGTCATATGAGTTACATCACTAACAGGAATCCCTCATGCGGACCTGCTCCCCACTGTCGTTCTCCACAAACAAACGCTTTCACCGACACTGAAGAACACAGACGTGATCAGCAAACATCCCTGGCCTGAACTACTGCTGATGGATGATTTTTCTCCTCCTACTGGGCTAAGTGCTAACTAGTAAGAAGAGAATCAAGATTGCTTACGTGCAGCACCTTTTTCTATTCTTCTAAAAAGCAAGAAAGGGAGTAAGTAGTGAGGACTTTACCAACATGAAGACTGCTTTTAGAAGACTCTTTCCTTCAAAAACACATAGGCAGTCATTAGGATAATACTAAAAACCATTTCTGCAGCTGGACACCAGTGGCTCATGCCTGAAATCCTAGCTACTCAGGAGGCTAAGATCTGAGGAGCAGGGTTCAAAGCCAGCCCAGGCAGGAAAGTCCATGAGACTCTTATCTCCAATTAACCACCAGAAAACTGGAAGTGGCACTGTGGCTCAAGTGGTACCGCTAGCCTTGAGTTGAAGAGCCGAAGAGCTGAGAGACAGCACCCAGGCCCAGAGTTCTAGCCCCCCCAACCCCAGAAAGAAAAAACAAAACAAAACATTTCTGCTGACATTCTTCGGCACAAATATTTTTGGCTTCCTTTTAATTATCTTCAGCCTATGAAAGCAGAAAACAACTTTCTGAAGTTTACTTGCCAGGAAACAAAAGTGATTATCCTGCTGACTTAAAACTAAGACTATAATTTTCATACTCTAAAGTACCTGAGAATTATGCGGAAAATGAAGATTGTTACACACTCTCTGAGAACCTGGAGGCTCTGCTACATTACGCCTCATTAATCCAGTAGGACAGAAGATAAGGTGCTATAATTTATCCTTAGAAGCCCAGACTGGGTGTGGAGCTCAGGGGTAGACTGCTTGCTCCATCCCTAGCACTGCACACATACACACACACAAACAAACACACACACACACACACACCACCTTCAAAATTATTTTTGTAATAAAATGAGCTTTGAGAAAGCATTCAAAAACATTTAAGTTTCTTCTAGATCTAAGGATGGTAACAGCAGGCCACTTTAGAACAACTCAAGTTACCCTGAGTTTCCCATCAAATATTCTTATTATGTGAGAGAAATAGTAAAGAAGGCCAGTACGTTTGCTGGGCAACTATGTGAATGGACTTAACTCTTCTCTGAATACAGAGAGCCAGTGATAAGGCAGATTAATGTGAATAAACTGCCCAGAGAACTTCAGAACAGGAGGGGACAGAAAATCTGAACCTTCCTGTTCAAAATCAGAAATTAGAGAAACTATAGGTACATATTAGGGTATCTTAAATAAGTTGGCTTCAGGAAAAGAAAAAAACTTGCCAAGAAACACAGGTGATCGATCATTCTGCTAACTTAAACTAAAACTCTAATTTTCACACTCGAAGCATTATGTAGAATTACAAATGAAGATTTCTAGGCTCTACTTACAGACTGTGATTTGGTGTATATGGGGATGGGCCTAGGAATATCCACTTTAAAGATGTTCATGACTTTCCTATCACACCAAAGAGAAATAAGGGATCTGACCCTCCAGAGGTCTGTGGGGTTGGCTCCTCAGGTACAGAGGAAGCTTAAAGCCCTTTCTGCTTAAAATTGAAAGGCTTATTGGCTGGAGGCTACTGAAAAACACTTCCTAGTGGCTGTGGAGACAGTGACCAGCAAGGTCTGCATGGACTCCCACCCATCTGAATGTACCAGCCATCCTTTAACAATGAGACGTGACATCAGTGAGGAGCAAAAGCTACAGGGAATTAAGCATACAACCTAGATTCTTCCCTTCCCTCTAAGTATAAATTAAAACAAACCCCTTAGGACTGAGTAAAGCTCATGAGGTTGTTGGGATACCTTGGGAGGGTAACTCATCAAAAGAAAAGAACTGTACTACTGTACACCAAAAATTTCAATCAAATAGGTTTAGTCCTACATGTATGTAGGACTTCCTGCACAAAGCTTCCTCTCCTCACTGCTGACCTATCAGGGTTAAGAAAAGAAGTCATAAGGTCATCTGCCCTCTTTTACCCAAATGAGGGAGACCCACCTCTTTGTGACCTGCCTTTTGTAGAAAGCAAAACAAGGAAGGGAAGTAAAGGAGTGGTAGAGGGGCTGAGTTTGATCAGGATATATGTACAGAAAGGCTACAATGAAACCCCTCTTGAACAACTAATATATGTAATAAAACAAGGAAGAAAGCAAATCTACTATGCTATTCATTTGGAATTCAGACATGCTGTGGGCTCTGTAATCTTCTTTTTTTAAAAAGATGTGTGGGTCCTGGGGCTTAAAGTCTGACTCTGGGAGCTGTCCCTGAGCTTTTTTGATCAAGGCTAGCACTCTACCACTTGAGCCACAGCTCCACTTAATAGGAGGTTAAGAGTATCTCATGAACTTCCTGTGCAGGCTGGCTTTGAACCACCATCCTTAGATTTCAGCCTCCTGAGTAGCTAGCTATGAGTCTCTGTAATCTTAAACCACCTAAAATCACCGTCAGATGAAAAAGGATTCAGCATACGTTAGCTCAATATTTAACTCAACTTGACTCTCCAGGCTAAGGACAAATGAGTATTCCTCAAATAAAATGAATTGGGGGAGATGACATCACTGGAAACACCAGACACAGGTTTTGAAAGTAAGCCATTTAAGGTTTGGCTCAGACATAGGAAAACTCCCATGATTACTTTCTGGTAGGCATACTGTCTGCACAGAACAGTAGAGTTCAGCAAGCAGCAAACAGAACAGTTCTCTCTCTTTGGGGTTAAAGTAATCGATACTGAAGTATTATCTGCCCTGTCAGAAACAGGCCTAATCTCTTCCTTCCTCTACTTTTTTTTTTTTTTTTTTAGTCAAGGGACTTGAACTCAAGGCCTGGAAGCTGTCCCTGAACTTTTCTGCTCAAGGCTAGTGCTGTACCACTGTTAGCCATAGCTCCACTTCCAGTTTTCTAGTGGTTAATTGGAGGTAAGAGTCACATTGAAGCTGGGTGCTGGTGGCTCATACCTGTAACACTAGCTACTCAGAAGCCTGAGATCTGAGGATCAGGGTTCAAAGCTAGCCTTGGCAGGAAAAGTCCCTGAGACTCTTATCTCCAGGTCTCTACTTACAGATAATTTAGCACTGATGAAAATGGTAAAGGGAAAATTTCTTATGTTAAAAGTAGAGGAAGGGACAATTCCTCTTTGAATTCTTGTTTACAAAACTATATCCATGGTTTGTCGAAGCAGTAAGCAGTATGGAAGGACATTAAGACAGAGGCCTGAAAGCACAGCCAGATTCTTACTTTAGAGGCACAATTTTCAAATACAGCAGGTATCAAAAAGAGAAAACATTTTCTTTTCATCTCACCTTAATACAGCCAACTATTGTAGTTGTAAGAGCAGAATTATACTGCGTGCAGAGTACTGTTGCATACATCAAGATAAACCTAGGATGGAGAAGAAAAAGATGGGTTATAAGCAAGCTCCACTGCTTTCTAGTAATCTCTAGCCAAGAGAAATACCCAGTACTGGTCATGCTAACACACACTAGTCATGACTGACTGTGACCTCATCACTGCTTACACTGTAACTTCAAAAAATTTTTTAAGTTTCACTAAAGAGAAACACATGTCTACTATTTCCTGACCAGGTATTTCTCTCTGCTATCCTCACCAGAACAAAAAGCTAATATTCATAACTATGACTTATTTTCAGAGCTCATGCATCCTACTAACCCACTCATATAAGCCAGAGAGAGAGAGAGAGAGAGAGAGAACCAAGGGCTCATAGACTCTGGCTCAGCTATGTACCTGCCATGAGGACAATGTGATCTCTGAGAGAGGATCAAAGCAAGACAGCCTCTTGAGGATGGAAGAAGAGCACAGGAGAACTACTTTTGGATGGGATACAGGTTCATTTAATGGCTAAGCCTCAGTATTTGGACCTCTCAGATTTACAAGGAGACCACAGAACTGACCCAGAGCTAAAGCAGCATGTCAACTCTGTTCTGTAGGGCTGGGAAGGTGGCTCAGTGGTAGAGTACTTGCCTTGTATGCATGAGGCCCTGGGTTCAATTCCTCAGCACCACATAAGCAAAAAGAAAAAAAAAGCCGGAAGTGGCGCTGTGGCTCAAGTGGTAGAGCGCTAGCCTTGAGCTGAAGAGCTGAGGCACAGCGCCCAGGCCCAGAGTTCAGGCCCCACGACTGGACCCAAAAACAAAAAAAAACAAAAAAACTCTGTTCTGTAGCCTCCAGGTACTATGCACAGGTCCAGCCACACACAGAAACCAAAACGACTGGCTGAGGAAAATATGGAGGGGATAAGAAGCTGCTTACAGAAAGCCTCTTGCCTTCTACATACTGTTCTGGCAAGAAAACAACATGAAAGAGAAACATCAGCCCCAAGTGAAAATATTGTCACTGCCATCCATTACCTGTGCTAACTCAGATAAGTTACCTAAGTTTTGAGCCTGTGATCTCACAGGGAAGGAAGCATCAATACATGCCAAACAATCAACGCAGATCGAATTATAATGGTGCATATCACACACAGTAGGCCCTTGTCACCATCCTACACTGGACTTGAGATCAGTTCAGCAGCCCTGAGAGCAGGAATGCTGCTATAAAAACACTAGGATCTGGAGGTGTATTTATCCTATGCTGACATATTCAGGATATGCAGGATAGAGAACCCTAGAAAAGGCTCACCCCATCACACAGGAGAGGGTGAACTGCAAAAGGAAAAGGGTATCCGCCCAGCCTTCAAACTCCATTGCCTGTAATACACAAGAAAGCATCAGATTTTAGAGCAAGTCCTCAAAATCAGCTATCTCATGCATTAATAAAAATTTTTCTATGCATCTGTAACTAACACACACACACACACACACACACACACACACACACACACACACAGAGAGAGAACACATTTCCCTGCATCAAAGAATAATGTTCAAGAATTTCAAATATGGACTGAACACATTTTCAGAAGGATTCATCCTTTCCAAAATGTAATGAAGAGGCTGGTGTTCACCAGTGGCTCATGCCTATAAATCCTAGCTACTCAGGAGGCTGAGAGATGAGGATTGTGGTTTAAAGTTAGCCTGAGAAGGAAAGTCCGTGGGACTCTTATCTCCCATTAACCACCAGAAAGCTGGAAGTGGAGCAGTGGCTCAAGTGGCAGCGTTAGCCTTGAACACAAAAACTCAGGGATAGGTCCAGGACCTAAATTTAAGCCATAGGACCAGCACCAAAAATACATACATATATGCATACAGATACATAAATATGGTTGTGTATGTGTGTGTGTGTTGATAAAAGAAAGATTTTATACTCTGAAGCAAAGAAATATTTCCTTGATGGCACAAGTCTTATCTACACAAACTCATGTTCTACCAGATGGCCTAGTGGGTTAATGATAAAGGCTTTGTTGAATAGTAAAACACTTTTCTTCCCCATAACCTGCAAAAGCTAAAGCACAGCCCTGTTTACACAAACCAAGCTAAAGTCTTGGTTTGAAGCAGTTGATTCTAAGTTGTTACTGTTGTTTGTTTGAAGACAAAGAGTGTGGGGATCATTTCATCTTTCACACAAGAGGGAAAGCGTCTCTCTCAAGTAATTTCTTTTGCAGGCAAACTGAGTTTGATAAGCCAACGTGAAAAACATTCCATTTCTTTAGAGGACAACTTGTCCAGCTTCAACTTTAGCCATTTCACATAAACCCCTAAGCTCTGGGCTTCTTGTGGTTTATTCTTTTCATTTATTATTTGCTGGTCCTGGGACTTGAACTCAGGGCCTGGGTGCTGTCCCTGAGCTTCTTCGTGGTCAGTGCTAGCGCTCTAACACTTCAGCCAAAGCACAACTTCTGGCTTTTTCTGGGTAGTCTATTGGAGATAAGAATCTCACTGACTTTCCTGCCTGGGCTGGCTTCAAACTGTGATCCTCAGATCTCAGCCTCCGGAGGAGCTAGGATTACAGGTGTGAGCCACCAGAGCTGAGCTCTTGTGGTGTATAAAGCATAACAAAGCTTCATATTTGCATGCCTTTGCCCACAATGCTCTTCCCCAACACTGACTCTTGCTCACCCAGAAGACTAAACTCAAGGTTCCCTGCCGTGCCTTCCCTGATCAAGCACTTTCTCTGCAGTTCAGTACTTCCCTCTAGGGCTCTGGATGCCAGCATGAACCTATTCCTGCAATCCATGCCTTTCTATGTCAGTTTACAGACTGTGAGCTCCACTATGGAAGACCCATCCATCTCTATAATCATATTCCTAACCCACCACTTACCAGACACTTAGTTTGTTTGAGGTCCTTTTTGTTGAGGTATAAAATAAAATTTGCCAACTTCAAATGCATAATTCAGTGAGTACAATCATGATAAGGAGATTCCTACACCTCACACACCAACAGTTCCCTCTAGTCCCTTTACAGTCAAACCCCTGGTATACAGCTCTGCTGCTAAAGCAACCTCAGACAAACTAATTATAGTCTTTTTTGTCTTGTCTCTTCTCTTGACAAGATGCTTTTGAGATTCATCCATGCTCTGAGTCTATCAGTAGCTCATTCATTTGTATTGTTAATGATTATTCCACCTTACAGCTAAACGACTGTTTAGTCACTTATCAATGGAACCTTTATTTGAGTTGTTTCCACAATTATTGCAGTAAAGCACCAATGAATCTTTTAGTAAAATCAAAGTATTGGACACATTGTTATTTCTTGGGTAAATACCTAGAACAAGGGATTGCTGGACCTGTTGCTAACTTTATCTCCAACTTTATAAGAAACTGTCAAAGTAGCTACACAACCTTATATTTTACTTTCTCACCAACATGAGAACTGTTCAGGCCATTCCAGTAAGCAGTAAGTGGTATCTCATGCTTTTAATTTGCCTTTCCTTAATCACCTACAAGGTTGAGCATCTTTTTTTTTTTTTTGGGGGGGGGGCAGTCGTGGGGCCTGAACTCTGGGCCTGGGCGCTGTCCCTCAGCTCTTCAGCTCAAGGCTAGCTCTCTACTACTTGAGCCACAGCACCACTTCCGGCTTTTTTCTTTTTTGCTTATGTGGTGCTGAATCGAACCCAGGGCCTCAGGCATGCAAGGCAAGCGCTCTACCACTGAGCCAACTTCCCAGCCCCAAGGTTGAGTATCTTTTAATATACTTATCTGATATCAGTATTTCTTATTTCATAAAATGACTTCTTAATTTTTGTGCTAAATTTTTAATAAAGTTATTTGTCTTGGGGCTGGGAAAGTGGCTCAGTGGTAGAGCACTTGCCTTGCATGCTCGAGGCCCTGGGTTTGATTCCTCAGCACCACATAAGAAAAAAGCTGGAAGTGGCGCTGTGGCTCTAATGGTAGAGTGCTAGCCTTGAGCTGAAGAGCTGAGGGACAGCACCCAGGCCCAGAGTTCAGGCCCCACCACTGGACCCCCCCCAAAAAAAAGTTGTCTTCCATTGACTGAGTGGTGATCTTTTTTAATATAAATGATAAACATTCTTAATTATACATATATGATATACTTACACATGAAAGGTATGTATGTATACATGCAGAGATATGACTTAGGAATGAAAAGTAACCAGAATTATATGACAAAGGCCTCAAATAAACTTCTGTCTACCTCTAAACTCCTTCCTCTGTTACATCTAAATCTCCTGTGCTTTCAATTACAATTCAGCACCTTCAAGTCAAGCTTTGGGCACAGTGATGAGGATGGTTTAATCAAATCTGCTGATAATCAAAAAACAAGCATATCAAAGCAATAAAAACTGCTGCCTACTATTTATCGAGGGCTTCTACATCATATCATTTGATTTCCACTGTGAAATGGAAAGATCGGGTCATACACAAAATGGCGAACTTTAGGTTCACAGTGAACATATGGTAAACCCCACTATATACACTTCAAGGTCAAGGTTCTCTACACTCAATAAACACTCTTAGGATATTAACTGTATCTGGAGAATATAGTCTCATGAACATGATTCCCTTTATATCAAATTCAAAAACAAAAATGTAATTCTCATGGCATTTTCCTCCTCTCCCCAAGTATTGGCCTGCTTCTGGAGAAAGCCAATGCATGGCACGAGCAGCCTGCTGTTTCACCACAGGAGCAGTCAGAACAATCAGCAGCCAGCCACAAGTACAGGATAAATATGACCTAATGGATATAAGGCCCACCTACTTCCTATAATACACAGGGGCTTGCTGCCCATGCCCTAAAGAGAACATTTCAAAAATCAGTAAAAGCTAAAGCTCTGTGCCAAGCTCAAAAATGTTAAGTAGCTTATCCAAAATTATCCAGCTAGTGCTTGTTCACTTCCAAGCCTAATCTACTCAAACAGAAATAAGGACTCTCAAGGGACAAGAGACTGCAGGTTCTCATACCCTTAATCTATAACCTGTTGCCTGCCAAGACAAGAGTCTCTCTCTTCTCCCTTATCATCACTGTGTGGAATGTACCTGTCCTCACAGCCCTTTCTAGAAACTAGAGAAGAAACCCACCAGGTACAGATTGGCTCCAGGATGTCTCCAAGAACTAACTGGCCACTGGTCTGTATCGTACAAGTGGAAATTTTCTTAAATCATGAAAAAGAAAGCTCTTAAAAAAACAACATCCTTACAAAGTAACGAAAATGACCAGACCTCAGGACATTCTAAACAGCCTGAATCTTCAATCAGTACTGTCCCCTTTCTTCAACTTCTATTTTCTTCCAATTAAAACTTTTGCCTGAGAGTTTGTGCTGAATATCTGTTTTATTTCTATAAATGCCGGGATGAAAATTCTCTCACCTTCTGTATCACTTCCATCTGCACTACTGGGTAAACATCAGGTTCTGGAGTTGGTTTGGTTGGCTTTAGTTTTGTTTTGTTTCCCACTGATGGTTCTACATGTGTACTATTATCAGATCAGTAATGCGAAAAGCAAGCGTTAGGAGAGAGACAAACAGCACGTTCTCTCTCATATGTATAAGCTAGATGTAAAATACAACTGGACAAGATAACTTATACAGGTTTCTATATATTTAGATACAAACCAACGGACTAAAGGATACTCTTAGGGGAAGAACCCAAAGACCTAACTTCTCTGAACATCTAAAATACTATTTATCAAAATGAATTCTAAGAAATGGAAACATGGGTTTTGGTGGTGGTGGTGGTTTGGTTCTTGTTGCTATTGTCTTGTTAAGGGGGGATAAAAGAGGGCACAGAAATGAAGAGAGAATAAACAAATGCAGTCACCGTATTGAATATACCACTGTATAAACAATGAACTTGTGAGCAGGGATGGAAGGGAGAAACTGGGGGAAAGCAAAGTAAGGGGTAACATTGTCCAAAAAAGAAATGTATTCATTACCTGACTATGGAATTATAAACTCTCTGTACAACTCCTTAGTAATGATAAAATTATATTTAAAAATTTTTAAAGCAAGAGTTAGGACTGAGGATAAGAGGTCAGTGGTAGAATATTTGCCTACTGAGCATGGGCCCCAGACTTAATTCCCTGCACTGTAAAGAAACAAAACAACAGTTCTACTTCTATTTCTGCATATGTGTGATGAGAATCTCACATGACCAAAGGGCACTTAAAAATCTCACCTAACCAAACGTCTACTTCCTGTACTCAGGAAGGTTTTCCTGTAACCTTCTGTGAGGCCATAAGGTCACTTAAGCCTGAGGTTTGACCTATATCACATATGTAAAACACAGGCTGCTCCAGCTGTCTCCTGTGAGGACCAATAAGAGAATAAAGAGAGACATTTTAAATGTACA